ATAAAAATTATAAGATTTATGTACGATATCTTCAATTGTACAAAATCCACAACAGAAGATTATGAACACAAAGTCTTCAAAACATCATCTACCAGCTTCCTCTTGCATTTAACTTGCAAAGAACTACTTGAAAAATAATAATGATAATGGGGTGAAATGATAATCTTGGTGATTTCCCATATCCTATGGATCCACTCGCTCTAAAGGGATATATTATCGATTCTTAACTCAAGTCTTCATCTTTTGTTACTCATGAGTCACTCACACCACGTAACTAAAACTTAAGCATCTAGGGGATATTCGCAATGTATGGAATCATGTCACTTAAATTCACATAACTCAATAAATCACTATTCAGATTCATGAAACATCAATCCCCACTCGGGCCTACGTCAAGCTCGGTTCACGCATGCTCGTATGATTTGACTTTCGCGGTGGATATCAGGTTCTCTATGGGACTCAAACCTAGTTCAAGTAATTGTTACTCGTATGGGACTCAAACCCACTTTGAGTATCTTTTACTGTATGGGACTCGAACCCACTTAGGTGTCCACCTCTCCTCTAGGACTCAACCATAGTTGGGACTCAAACCCAATTGAGGCACAAATCATTGGTGTCACATCCCCATTTTCTACTTTACATAAGCATCTTAAATGGGGTGTGCACTATCAAGGGAAAACATCTCAATACATAATTGGTTTAACAAACATTATGATTGCTCTTATCAATCACTAGGTGATCTCTTTCATCAATTCACTAGGTAGTCACATCTACCATTTCTCATATTATTTCCACATGTCTCATACAAATCATATTAATTCATCATTAGAGCGAATACATATTTGCGATAGACACCGGCGTATCATTGCGTCCAAGGCACACTAACTAAGTCATTTTCGTGACCTAAGTCATTCTCTTAGTACAACCTAGGTTTAGTCTTACTCCCCATCATAGTTTTTAACCAATTATCATACAATCAACACAACAACAATTCTTCATATAGTTTATAACCTATACCACAATATAATTCACAAACACACGCATAATCAATTCATTAACAATACTCAAACAATGATTATGGCACCAACATGACTCTTACTCACCAATTGGTAAATCATTGGACTATATTTCCAATGTATCCTACCTCACATTAATCGGAGCTATTATTTCCGTTTTATGGTGGAAACATGAAATAAGATTTCTAATCAACTTCAATCTCAACATATTGTACATAAATGTTTATTACCATTATCCTATCAATCATTTGCCTATAAACATGTTTTTACTTTTCTATCTAATAGAGCATTGAAAGAGCTTTCTAACATATCCATCGTGCATCAAACAAAGTTACTAAACTCATTTTATAGTGAAAATAGTTGAACCAGTGAGTTGCTGGAAAAGATCAATCGATGGTATGAACCTTCTGTCTAATTTTTTCACTATCTGCATTGGACCAATTGATTGGTCTTAGGAGTCAATCAATTGACACCTGCTATTTCATCAAAAAAAATTCACTTATGAACATGTTTTCTTCCATCTTTAACCATGTTAAACCATACCAACACTTAGGTTATCATAAACACACACCGATCCACATGATTATTAGTCATAACTCTAAGAACAAAGAATACATATGCCAACATGTTTACTCTTCACTCATACAATCATGTATTCATAACAATAACAACAATATGGCATCAACACAATCATGGAACTCATCACTTTTTGATGGAATATTATCTATCACTATGTTCATAGTTCAACCACATACACAAACCCTAGCTTTCTCTAATGAAGAATCTAGCAAGAAATCACCTTAATATGATGAAGGTGATGAATATTTGTGAAGAAGATAAAATGGAATCATGGTGTTGATGATGAAGATGATGTCTTCCATGAATTTATTCTTATTTGAGCTTCCTTCCTCTTCTTCTTTCCTTCCTTTCCTTCTTCTCTTTATTTCTTTCTTTTATCTTCTTCTATTCTTAGTAATTTTTCTTTTCTTTTTCTTTCTTACCCACTTTTTCTTCTTTCTCTTACCACCACATATACATATATGAATATAATATATGTATGGTTGGTAATATAGAGAGAAATAAAATATCTCAAGTGAGAAATTAACAAATTACTAATTCACCAAAATGTCCCTTCTTGTATTAAATAATAAAGGTCGGTCTCTTTGAGCAAGAATTATGTTCTTTTGAGGTCACTAAATATTCTATTGACCTCATCTGATAACAGACAACGAATAGGGCATTTAGGAACTCAATTTTTTCCAATTGACAACATTTATAGTACCTAAGGGTATATGTGATATTACAGGATCCAAGAGTCGTGCGCACCATGATGAAGATGCCCCAATTACACTGTAGGTCCCGGTTTCTGAAGATGCCTCGCTTGCAGACCCTTTTCTAAGAAGGTCCACAAACACTTCTTTACTGATATACTTTGGAGAGCATGTGTCCCCACATATCTGGGACGGAGATATATATTTCTTAACGGTGTTACTTTTTTATATTTTAACCAAATTCAACTCGATTGAGACTGTTATATTTTATTTTCAACAGGAACGTGAGTGTTTGAAATTTATGAATCATGCAAGAAAGATTCACAATCTTTTTCAGCCTTAGAAAGATTGGTTCCAAAGTGTCATTCAAAACTTCAGTCTAGCAGGTCTTTGTGCTTCAGGGTGCAACACTGTCAACCATGGCATGTAGGATGCATTTACTGAGAGATGACATAGCGAAACATCATCTTTCCACCTCCCCATTGGTGAGATAACTATTACATTAGACAATGTAGCTTAATCATTCTAAGATTACCAGGGGTGAAGCATCGAATATAATGGTGTTGTATACTGAGGATTATCCATTTATTTGTCGGGTTATCCCTAACAGAGGGAATGATGTTGTGGTGTCGTTCAATGTATATTAACCAAACTCAATATGATGACGTCGTCTGGATGTCATACACTATTCATCGAAAAAGAATTTCATTCAACTACATTTCTTTATACTCTTGATGGTTAGCATGTGGGATTAATATCATGTACAAGTATCTGCCCGAGCGGTGCATGCAGTGGTTTAGATATGTGTAAATCATTATAAAGTCTCCTATCCAGGTTGCTCCTATCAGTATTGTCCGTAGACAGTTGGATGATATTCTAGAGAATTTTGAGAGTCGTCTGGTACCGGTGAAGTATCAGAATCATGAACCCACATCTCAGTGGAGTTATGTTAAGGATTACATGACTTGGTTCTATAATGTGTCACACCCTTAGATGACACAAGACGCTCTTGAACGTCCACTTAGGCCTGTCCATGAGGAGATCCTGGAGAATGAACAGATCAGGGATGATCATGTCATTGTTGTCTTGCCAATCTGTCAGAATATTATGCAAATGACATGAGAGGGCATCGAGTTTGGGTTGTTTGAGAGAGGTGGCGATGAAACGTTTAGTCTAACACATTCCATTTACATGGAATGTCTTGAGTCACCGTAGGCAGAAGTGGAGTCAGGGTGTTATGATTAAATATACTCAGTAGGCTATGCTTTTGATTATATTTTGTTTATTTTTCATCGACTTGAAAAACAATTTTTGTACTATTATAACATTTATGATATTTTAATGCATTACTCGATTTTATAATATTCATTTTTATTAATTGTTGAAACAAATAATGACAATATTAATTGATTTAAAATTATGTTGAATTGAAAAAACTACACTCTTGGCAAATTGTTCTTGCATAAAAACTAGTATGCAAGACTTTAAAGATGTATCTTCGAATATACTCCGCAACAAGTTTGCATATACATTTTCAAACTATTTTCTTAAGAAATATGGTGGATAAAGTGACTTCAAACATATATCAACAAATTTACTCTTGTGTGATCTTTGAGATACATCTCCGAACTAAATTTTAGAAAAACTGATATTTAATGCGTTCGAAGATGTATCTCCGAATTCATCTAAAAATATTTTGAAATTTTGACATGTGCACTCCATAATACAATAATACACAATGAAAATTTACCTATTCTGTTATCGTGTTACACAACAACACAGCAGCATAGAGAGATGAATGCGTTAGCTTTTTGCAAAACATGGTCCAACATTCGCCATTTTTTATTATCATGTACACAACACAGCAGCATGAAGAGAAGGTGTTAGTTTTTTGCAAAACATGGTCGAACATTTAAAACCGGCTAGATCGCCGGTTTTTCCAGTTTATGGCCAATTTTCTGATTAACATTCAGGTTTGTTTCCATGCCAGTTTTCAAGACTGTTTCGACCGGATATAAGTCTGATTTTTGATCCAACCGGTTGAATCGGCAGATCTGATCTGATTTTCATTACATTGATTATTTCAAAGAGATTAAGCATATCAGTGGATGATAATCTTGCTTCAATGCACATATTAATACAAAAATGATCCCGATAGTAACGAAAACTCAAATATAAGATTAATTATTCACATGTAACAGTTTAACAATTCATAGGTAAATTTCCCGTAAAAAAAACAATTAATATGTACATAAAATCTCAAAATGAGATACCACATAGCAGTTCATCTGCTAAGCAAGTCCTATTTTTGCTTTAGATTTTTAAAATGGAAATTAGTTTCAAAACGCTGTAACCAAACGGACCCTAATGCAACACAAATTGTCACCGAGTACAAATAATGTATGTCGGTTTCCTAATTATGAACAATTGTTACCTTAATTTTCAATGCCATTTTGCTCTCAAACACCACAAAATCCCAGAAGATTCAATCTATGATGTCAAAACAGTTACTATACAAAAATATCTGCAACCTTTGATCGACAATTCCTTGCTTCATATTCATAGATAATCTTCCAACTTCAAATTGAACCGGTGTGATCCTGTGTTCGGGCTTTCACTGTTTTGGTGAGAAAAATGCAGAGATCCAAAATGCCACAGCCAAACCTTCTTGGTGTTCCTTTACCTTGGCATTAAGCTCGATGTAGTTGATTACTTAATTATGATCCTTCTTACTTTTTTTCAGAAACATGGACATGTGATCGATATATTCACGGCTAGCTTGCTTGCCCGTTAACCATTGCAGCGCTTCAGCTGCAGCATCTTTCTCTGCACTCTTCTTATTGTTACAAGGTTGGCCCATTATCTCCACTCCATTTAACTCAACTGAAGACCGAAACTGGTTGTTCTTCAACTGTTTAGTTTTGTAGATAGGTGCAGCATATCCTGCTCTTGTAAGCAAAGTTTGGAGCTGGCTTTTAGAATTATCACCCCCAGGTCCACTCTCTGTCCTTGAAACCAATGATGCTGGGTGTGAGGGGATCACAGATATCTTTGACGGTTTAAGGACCTGGCGACCAAATACAAATCTGCCTTCACATGAGTCGTTGGATATCAGACACCGTACTGCGGATAGGAGGTTATGATATGAGTGTATGCTCATTGTCGGAGAAAGTAGCTGTTTGGCACAACAGAGCAATGTAAATTAAAATTATTGTTCATACTAAATTTCTGATGGAAAAGGCACTATCTATTCAAATTTCAAATATTAAGGAAAAGCTGGTCTGGAGCATGAGCACCTACTTTGGTTTGAATGAAGCCATCAAGTTCTCTCCTTATACTCTGATGCATATCAGCAACAGTAGGTTCCATGAAAAACTCCAGATATCCTCCTAACATTTTTATGTGATTATCCTGATAGAAAAATTGGATTCAGTAAACCATAATACATTTAAAACTTTGGCGTCAATATATACCATTTTACAGAACAAAGATTACATATTAGAACCAATAAAAAAATCACATGGCACTTACAGCATCTCCTTTTGATAAGCTTCCACCAAACAAAAGCACCACTGAATCAGACACAGCTGTTGAGTCACGGAGAAAAACTGAGTTCACTTTTATTTTCTCATTAAAAACTAACCATGGATATGGAATTTTAGTTTCCCGAGCATTAACTGAGTTCTAGGCAAATTGAAAGGACATGCATTTAAAAGGAAAATGAAAAAGAGTCAAAAGACAACATAAAAACTCAAGTTCAAATATGTCAAGAGTTTCATAACCAGCAGTAATTATATTTGATTTAAGAACTAACCGAATATAAGAGCACTTGACCATCCTCCATCGTTTTCAAAGTGAATGACTTCTCATTATGCTGCAAACGAAGTTACATCTTACTTGTTTCAGTCCCAAAACATAAGAATAAGCTAATTATACTATATACTAAGTTAGCACATTGCACAACTCCAAGCAGTAAAATATTTTTCTGAAAACAGTGACGAATAATAAAATTCCAGATTGGCGCAGTTTAATGAGTTTGATGATCAACAGTAGGTTTAATTCATGATGATTTTCATATTTAATTTGAATCTAAAAAGTATCATCATGTATCACAACTTATAGTAAAAACACTAGTTATTTTTAATTTAAACTATATTTAATTAATTCTCTTCATATAATCAAGTAAAAAAATGGAAAATACAAAATGTTGAAAATTTTCTACTTAGAATTTGGGTAGGGTCTAAGTTAAACGGCTTGTAAGGTGATGATCGCCTCCATTTTAAGTTTATGTTCAGGCTTTAATATCATAAAATTTGGATTGAGTCAAACTCAACCCAACAAAATTGGATTGTGAGGTGAAGACTGGAGTCAATTATGAACTTATGTTCAAACCAACCGAATTTCATCCAAAGTGGGCCTCTTAACATCTATAGCCAAACAAGTGATGTCAGAACTTCCAAGAGTATGCGAAAAAAGATAAGAGATCTTGTTAAAATTAATTTACATTCTTTTATCAATCAGGGCTTGAGAGGCTCCGGTTTACCCTGTGATGGATGTCTCCGATTCAAGCCCCCGTATCTTCAATTCGCAAACTTAAAGTAAAAATAAAAAAGGACCGATGCAGAGACTCAATGGAAGTAACCACATATAATAAGGGAATTTCTTTTCCCACCTAGTGGTCTTCTTCTAGACCCCCGGTGAAAAACCCAAAATACCCCCAGAATTCGCACGAAGTCACCCATAATTTGTTAAAAATAGGGTGACTTTGCAAGTGCACTTGCGAATAACCCATAAATACTCATTTCGTAAGTGCACTTGCGAAATATGTGTATTATTTTAACAAAACGAACAGAACATACCCCCAACCCCTTTTCTATCGAAATACCAAATTTTCAAACTTTCTACTCCAAACCCTAACATTTCTACTACTCAAACTCACTAATTTTTGTTCATCTCTCCATTTCAACTCATTTCAAGTCATCCCAAATCATCTCCAAGCTTTCAAATTTGTATAAGTATTCTACAATTTTTTTTTATTTACAATGCAAACTTATAATAGATTATTAGGTTAGTTTGTAGAAATTACATTGTGTATGTTGGTGTTAGAATAGGTAAATGTGTTATTTGGATGACAAAAAATTGAGTTTTGGGTGTTTAGGGCAAGAAGCTGTTAGGTTTTGAAAATGGTTGTGCATAAGGGGTTTCGCAAGTGCACTTGCAAATTCACCCGGGACCAGTTTCACAAGTGCACTTGTGAATTCTTGCCTGAGTTGTTTTATTTTTAAAACCTAACAATTATAATTTTTTTATTTCAGGAACATGGCAGACAACCAGGACTAGAGCAGGCGGTTGAGACAAGGCAGGCCAAGCCAGACTGCCTCGGCTCGTCGAGAGAGACAAGAGCAGTGGGTTAATCGGCCTCGAGGAGGAGGTCGGGTACAAAGGAAGCAATTGGATGTAGCTTCTTCTACACCGAGGAGTCGTCTGCATCAGGCGTCTCCATCTCACGCGCATGAGCAGGTGGCGTCTACCTCTCGTGTGCATGAGCAGGTACCCGAGGATGTTGAGGTACCTGAGGATGTTGAGGTACCCAAGGATGTTAACGTACCTGAGGATGTTGAAGAACCTGAAGAGGCGGAGCAGAGCTATCCAGGAGGGCCATATGACACATCCATCTTGATTTACTATCATGATCATACTGCTCGCTATGTCTGGGATGGACAGGTATTTTTTTTGGTTTCACTATTTTATTTTATAACTTTTACTCAAAAATACGATTGTAACAATTACTACTTTTTTTTTTGTTTCACGAACGGTTGCCTATAAAGCATGTGAATCACTCTCGGAAAATTTTTGAGTTGTTCATGCCAAGGGCTCAGTGGTTCCACGATGTTGTGATTGAATCCGGTCTTTCCGAATTATGTTGTACAGGTTACGGCACAATAAGCCACAACATGCAGGGGACTTTTGCTGAGAGGTGGCACAAAGAGACCTCATCTTTCCACTTTTCCATTGGGGAGTTGACCATCACACTTGATGATGTAGCTTGCTTGCTCCACCTACCTATCAGAGGTAGGTTACTTAACCATCACAAGATATTACGAGCTGAGGCGGTTGAGTGGATGGTTGAGTGTCTGAGAGTTGATCCGTTGAGAGCAGTTGAGGACAACATAACCACAAATGGGGCGCCTGTAAAGTTCTCCTACTTTAAGGAGCTATATGAGGAGCACCTCGTTGCAGCAACAAGAGCTGCACGAAGAACTGACGAGGATGAGCAGGACGATGTTTTTGTTCAGTTTCACTGAGTCCGTGTTGTGTGGTGTTACTTGATGTTCTTGATCGGCACGTCCGTCTTTGTGGACACTATACCGATGTGACCTACCTGCGGTATTTTATGGACCTAACTACAGTTCGTGAGTGGAACTGGGGGAGCGTTGTTTTGGTATACCTCTACCAGAAGTTGAATGAAGCTTCAAATTGGAGGTCGAAGGCACTCACTGGCTCATGCACACTCCTCACGGTACCTTTTTTTTCCAACTATTAACTTTAATTTGTTTTAATTAATTTGTACTTACATATTATGTTATTGATGTTGCAGAGCTGGATAATATCTCATTTTCACCGCATTCATGGTTTCAAGGAAGTTTCAAGGAAGATAAGGATTATACTGACAACATGCCAAGGGCTACCAAATATGTTCTCAACAGAGGGAACCAACATGTGATGTCGTACCAGGTGTATCTTGATCGTACTAATCATGATGACATCAAATGGACGCCTTTTGATGATTACTGGGATGTTGTTCCATTCGATCCGATCTCATTATACTCTAGGTGGCTAGCATGTGGGTCGAATATTATGGTCAGGTATCTTTCGGAGCAGTGCATCCGCCAGTTTGGCTATGTGTAGATGATACCTAGATCTCCTTTTCAAGCTGCTTCTGACACCATGGTACGGCGGGATCTCGATGACGTCTTCCAGGATTGGGAGAATCATATGGTGTCACAAGAGTATCAAATGATGTCAGCATCCCAGAGTTGGCACTGTGTAGAGTTACATGACATGATTCTTTAACGTGTCACACTCACTCTCTCATGACACTAGATGGTCCTGGACGTCCACCTAGGTCAGCTCATGAGGAGCTCCTGGAGAACGAGCAGGCCAAGTATTAACATGCCATTGATCTATTGCCGATCTGTCAGCAGATCGGCCTACTTGGCCAGGAGGCATTGGATATAGGGGTTATCGAGATGGGCGGTCCTGAAACGGTTGTCATAGTTGAGAGGTTGGTCAGTGAGGCATCAGATGCATCGGAATACCGCAGACAGAGGAGGACGCAGGGGGTTAGGATTAGACATATGCAGTAGCCTGTGTTATGTTTTGTTCTTTGTTATTGTTGTAATATTTTGACCGTCCTTACTTTTGAACAATTTATGTATATTGTTATTTATGAACATATTTTTTTCTGTCAGATCGTAAAATATTTGTACGTTTGTGAAAATAGATTGTGAAATATTGGAATTTGTGAAAATAAAAATAGTGAAAATTATGAAGTTTAAAACAAGTTTTTACACATTCAGAGGAAGTTTCGCAAATGCACTTGCGAATTCACCTCGCAGGTTTCTTCGCAAGTGCACTGGCGAAACCTGCTAAGAGGTGAATTCACAAGTCCACTTACGAAGGGTATTTTTGAGTTTTCAGTGGTGAAAACCACCACTACTAGGTGTAAAGAGAAATTCTCAATAATAATTATCCTACAATAAAACTACAAAAAAAACTCATAAAGTCATTAGATAATTAATTGCTCTTCAAATTGAAGACTTGCAGATCTTAGTTATGAGGAAAACGAAATTTGGCTTTACTAAATATTTAGATTATAAAGGAAAGAGGCAATGAGGTAAAAAAGTTGTGCACATGTTAAAATGGATGCCATGTTGAAAAAAGGAGAAGGTTTGAAGGGGCATTTATTCCTCTCGGGTCTAATCTACATTCAGTACTGATTAAGGGAATGGCTTTTATATTAATATGTGTCATATAAAAAGGCATACCAGCACAGAACAAATTCCAGGATATAGACCATAGCAAATAACTGCCCTGATAAGATTCACATCATAGCTCCATGTGTTACAGCTTGTTGTGTTGCTATCGACTAATCCAATATCTGTAAGCAGGCCTTTGAACTCCCTCCGAAGAGCATCAATAGCTTTCATGGATTGGAATGAAATAAAGTTTTTCCAACAATATTCATATCCACCCAGGTCTATCTCAGCAACTTTCCAACCCTCGTAAGCGCGTACAAGTGCTAGGTGGTCACTGTATGCACCAGAGAATTGAGATTTTGCCGCCTCGGCAAGCTGCAATGAAGAACTTCGAATTCAAATAATGAAATCAAGTTCACAACGAGGATAAGAGGGAACAAGGGAGCAGAGGGAAGAAGTAAGGAACTGAGAAATACATTAAATTTCAAATAACATCTGTATTAAAAAAATATTTGCTTTCCAGTCAATGATCAATCATCGAAAACAGGGAGCAGCTTACATCTTTTTTATCCAGTGGTGTTAGAAAAGGATCTCTCACACTAAGACCAGCAACAACAGTTAATATAGGATCCAGACAATTGAGGATAGCGCCTAATATAAGCATCTTGCCAAGTTTGGGTTCCATAGGAAACTTCGTCAAATAGTGTCCTGTCAATTGGAAAACCAAGCACAATTTTGCATCATTTAGAGGGCAAATTACTAAGCCAAACTTCCCATTACTAAAGTACCAACATACCAAGAATAGTCAGATTCTCATTCCCGTCCAAAGCCCCAATTATTTTTAAATATTCAACTGCATTTTGTACCTATGAATAAATATTCAATTAAAAATGAGGTACAATTTATATAAAAACAATCAACAAAATATATGAATAAACAACTTACCAAATTAAAAATTATGCATGATTTGATGGAGTTTTACAGAATAAATCAACTACATAATTACCGTGAGTATCTCAGGAGACTGCAAAGCCCTAGACAAGAAGTCGGATATACTTCCAAGTCTTAGACTTTTGATTTGTAAACAGAGAGACTGCAAAGGTGTTCTCAAAATTTCTGGCAATTGGTACTCTGCAAAACCATCATATACACATCTAGGATAGAGATGGTAACACACTCCAGGTTGAACACGACCAGCTCTTCCTCTTCTCTAGAAAAAAGGATTTGGAGGAAAAAGGATAATATTAGTAATGCTTAACGTCCAACAGTTTCAGGATTCATACTCACAAATGTCCCCTAAACCCAAAGCCTAGATAACAAAATGTTAATTTCTATTTGAATACCTTCACTCACACAAATCACTAAACCTGGACGTATAATCACACGCCAACCCCCTCCCCCGAACTAAAAAAAAAGCATTCAAACTGTCCTTAGCATCTTCAATCATATCGCATTGTACCAAGCTATTTATAAAGTCAAGTGAATAGCATGGAACCTCAGTGAACTTAAATGGTTGTGGCTTATTTTGACCCATATGAAAAGGAGGGTTGGGATATTAGCTATTAGTACTAATTATAAGTCTTCAAGGAAAGGCCAGAAAACCTCATCTCTAAGGCTGTCTGAAGCATTCTGCCTTAGAATTCCATTTTTCGTCCTACAATTTCTATCTTCTATCTACCCACATAATGTTCTTCCTTTGTTACAAATATTGAAGCAATAGGATTTGAAATAAATGGGATTTTACACAAAAGGAGGACAGAAATAGTAAGAATTAAAGTTATAGTGAAGTGAAATATGTTTGATATTAACTTGATGTTGATTTAATACACAAAACTAAATACCAATCCTTATTTATAGGAATACATAAACTCAAACCTAAGTAGAGAAATTGAGAAACAGATAATAAGAAGAAATATAAAAACCAATCCTAGGAGATAATCTAAGATACGCTAAGATTGAATTTGAAAACTGATCCTTAGAGATAAACCAAGATATTCCAACATAATATTGATATATTATTTTATATTCTAACAACTGCTTCTGATTTATCATGCAAGATATGCATTGTGATCATAAAGAAATTCAAATTCAAACCGACAAAACTGTAAAAAAAATGGTATCAGTAGTCAAGAGTCCATAACTCCATGGTATTCTGCCAAACTAAACTGATATGAACTAGGAAAAATACTTGCAAAAAGTAAACCAATATACACGCATACATACACATAATTGACAGCATAGAAAATGATGCCCAGCAACATTGTACATTGAACATATTATAAAAGTGATCATTGCCAGATACATAACAAAAGTATAACATTACTTGATGAGCAGAAGCCTTCGAGATCCATGTAGGAAGCAAACAAGGCGCATTATTCAGTGCATCATATGATGTTTCTTTTGCTTTTCCACAGTCCAGAACAAAAACAACATCATCTATTGTGATACTCGTTTCAGCAATATTTGTTGCTAGCACTATTTTTCTCACTCCATCTTCAGGCTTTTCAAACATTACTTCCTGCATATCCAATAATGTACAATTTATATAAATAATGGGTGTAAGTAGGAGGTCCAATCACATACTTCACTCTACATGTAACATATTGTTAAAAGTAGTTTTCAGAAAACACTGGTATAAGATATGATCATGCTTTTTATTTCAAACATAAGATTTTGGAAACTTTGTTGCTAAACTTAAGTGTCTAGGTTAGGTAACAACGCAAACTCTTAACATGCAGTAGTCAACAGGTAGAAGATTACTTGCTCCGCACTAGCCATTGAGCCATGACACGTGAGCAACAAAACACGGTTTGGATCTCCCAAGACAGTATGTGCTTGGAGCTTCTCTTTCAGAGAGAAGATATCATCCCACCCAGTCATGAAAACCAAAACAGCACCAGGCCTTTCATCCTCACAAATATTGCACAGGATATATTCTATGAGATTAAAACCAATACAGTCAGGATTCCAACATGACAAAGACTCCTGTGTCTGAAGGCTGTAATCTTTGAAATCAGCAGATCTAATTGCATCCTGGTCACATTATTCAAAAAATGAACGCAATTTAAGAAAATACTAAACAAGTACTGAAGCAACTGCAGTTCATAATTTCTTACATACCTCAACGGCAGAAGCAATTTGGCCTTTCCTCTTTCTTGGGGCCTGTTTGTTCATTTTCCACAACCTCTCTTGGCCATAATCATCAATTTGATTAGAAGGAGTCAATCGATAGCCCGTCGTTTCAAGAATGCTCTCCAAAAAGAGAGTTCTAACAGGGTGTGTAAAGCCCTATATTAATAAGCACATCGGCCGAAACAAGAAGAAAAAGGAAAGCTTTTATTTCTTGGCAGCAAATATTAAAATATCTATCCCAAGAAAGGTAATAATTAAAAAAAAAAAACTGAAATAGAAACTGCTTGGAAACATGAATCCTTGAGCAAATTTCATTTCCTTCTATATGTGACATTATACCTAGGTTGAACCCTCTTATGATTTGGATAGACCTAACTCAACCTCACAAGACCAGCTTGGAAGGTAAGAAATTATATCTTCTACTTATAAATATATTTTGATGACATATCACATCGGATGTGGAACTCTCAAGAAACCCATTTACCCAGTTCCTCCATATCATTTATTATATCGTTTAAACAATGTCTTTAAAGCCAAACTCCAAAAATCTCGTAGTTCCATTGTTGCTATTTTGTTTCAATCAATTCAAAACCCCAAAATATCTTGTTACCTAGTCCAATTAGCAATGTTTTTGTAGTTGATGATTGTTGAAACACAATCCCGATGGAGATCGGTGCACTTGCCATAAAAAGTGGTGTACTGAAATACATTATCAATGATTCCTTAAACTGAAAATTCTCAATCACATTGAACCCTTTTAGGGACAATTTCAAGACTCAATTGAATGACTCAAAAACTGACATTGTAGGATTTTCAATTCAGGGATTACTTTGGAATTGGGACCAAACTGCTTAACCTCTACAATTTGAGGGACCAAATTAAGGATTCACTCAATTTCCAACTTAAAACATTGGATCGGTTCAGCGGCTAGTAGGCCATATATACAGTTCACCAATCATAATGGCCAATTCAATAATTCTAAAAGCAATTATTCAATCAATAGTATGTTTGGCATGACAAAACCAGTTATGAACTAGTTCACTACAGAACCTATCAGACTAACCAATCCTGCATCGACCCACATTACAAGGTAAACTAGGACTATCGTTTAGTTTAAGAAACGCACCGATATATTCACTATTGAAGCCCCATTAAAATACGAAGAGAAGAGCTTTGCATCTAGGGTAGCACTCATCAAAATCAGTTTGAGTTCGGGCCGACGGGGAAGGAGTTCTTTCAGGACAATAAGCAAAAAATCTGTATAAAAAAGGCAAGATCAGTTATATTCAGAAGAAATCTTCTGAAAGTTAAAGATTCGATCAAATTCAAAGTTCAACCTTCATTCATCCCACGTTCATGAATTTCATCCACAATAACATGAGTTACACCATTAAGGTTTCTATCATACAGTAATCTTCTTAATAAGATGCCTGTGGTGCAAAAGAGAAGATGGGTATCTCTCCCTTTCATTCCCTCCAGTCGAACTTTATATCCAACCTTTCAACGGAAAAGAGCGTGTGTGAGCCACCAATAGTGAAATAATTGAGTTCTCATATAACAATAATTAGATGGGATAGTATATTGAAAGTAATTGTCATTGGCAGACAAACTCACAGATTCACCCAATTTCTCCCCTCTCTCAGAAGCAACCCTTTCAGAAACAGACATGGCTGAAATGCGTCTGGGCTGTGTGCATATAATATTACAAGCAGCCCCATGAACTGATTCTATCTCAGACTCCAGAATAAATTGAGGAATTTGTGTTGTCTTTCCACAACCTGTTTCGCCTGAAATGATGACTACCTGCAAAATATGTCTTTTAGTAATTGACAATTGAATTCTAGATATCAATTTACAAAAAATGAAAACTGAAATTAAGACTACAAACTACTTTGAAAAATATATTTGGCCGCGACCAGCCAGCATATACAAATCAAGTATAGGATTGTTAGAAAACAGAGGAGAGAGAGACTATAGAGAACGAGAAGAAAGAGAGAGAGAGAGAGAGATTGCAAAACAGAATTTGTTATTTCTCAACTGAATCAGTTACAACAGATCCTTTTATATAGAAAGGATAAGGGATAGAAATGGAATTAGACACTAGTCTAATTCCCTTTTGCTAATCTATTACAAGATTACCCTTATATCTCTAATACTCCCCTCACAAACTTAGGGTGGTTGATCAAGTTTGAGCTTGTCAACAACTCTAAGTTTGGTTTAAGAAACAAGAATCTATTAGTAGAGAGTGGCTTGGTTAACACATCAGCCCACTGATCTACTGCAGGAATGTGGGAAACAGTCAGGTTCTTGCTAATCACTTTCTCCCTGACAAAGAAAATGTCAAGTTCCATGTGCTTGGTCCTTGAGTGCAGAACAGGGTTGTGAGCTAGAGACACTGCACTTAAATTGTCACACAGTATCTTGGAAGTCTGATGGTTGATGTGTAGTTCCTGCAAGAGAGATTGGAGCCAAAGAATCTCTGATGTAGCTAAGGCCAAACTTTTGTATTCTGCCTCAGCACTTGATCTGGCAACAAGTGTCTGCTTCTTTGTCCACCAAGTAACACGATTAGGACCAAGGAAGATGCGGGCTCCAGAAGTGGACCTTCTATCGTCGGGATCTGAGGCCCAGTCTGCATCACAAAGGCCTGTCATAGTGAGAGGCAGAGTGAGGTTAGCAGGTGAGAGAAGTAGACCATGAGAAACTGTCCCTTGGAGGTATCTGAGAATTCTCTTAACAGCTTTCCAATGGTCCTCAAGAGGATTTGAGAGAAACCGACAAACTTTATTGACTGCAAAAGATATCTCAGGTCTTGTTACAGTAGTACACTGAAGGGCTCCTACTACAGAGCTGAAGTAGGTGGAATCAGCAACTTGAGCAGAACCGACTTCAGAGAGTTTGGTGCTTGAAGCCATAGGTGAAGCAATCCCTTTTGCAGTAGCCATGTTAGTTCTATGAAGCAAATCCCTGATATACTTGCCTTGAGAAAGCAGAAAAGATCCATTGGGAAGAGGAGTCACCTCTATGCCCAAAAAATAATCTAGTTGCCTAAGTCTTTGAGAGAAAAGGCCAGATTGAGTTTAGTAACCAATTGCTTGATGAAAGAAGAAGAGGAGCCAGTGATGATAATATCATCAACATAAACCAACACTAAAGTGTAGCAGGATGGTGTGAACATCATGAACAAGGAAGGATCACACCTGCTGGCAGTGAAACCCAGATGGAGAAGGGACCCTTTGAGTTTATCAAATCGGGCCCTAGGAGCCTGTTTAAGCCCATATAGAGCTTTGTGTAACTTGCAAACCAGACCAGGCTCACCCTTTTCAAATCCCGGTGGTTGCACTCCATATATATACTTCTTCATTGAGCACTCCATTTAGAAAAGCATTATTGACATCAATTTGTTGTATGGTCCAACTTTTAGAGATGGCAAGTGTTAAAACAGCCCTCACTGTAACGGGTTTCACAACTGGTGAAAATGTTTCAGTATAGTCAAAACCTTCAATTTGATGGAAACCCTTGGCAATCAATCTTGCTTTGTATTTATTAATGGTCCCATCTGCATTTTCTTTGACTCTAAAAACCCACTTGCAGCCAATGGGTTTTCTGTGATCAGGGGCAAGCACCAAAGGACCAAGTGTGATTTTTAATTAAAGCTTCTTACTCAGGTTTCATTGCAGTTTGCCACTCAGGAATTGATAGAGCATGTTTATGTGAGGTTGGTTCCAAGTGAGTGAGAAGGAGAGTGGGATGCAGTCTAGGTTGGACAATACCATCCTTAGCTCTAGTAACCATGGGGTGAGTGTTAAGAGGATGAACAGGTGGAGCAGGGGAGGAATGTGCAACAGATGGAGAGGAGATTGTGCTATTGCTAATGACCACCGAGGGGGACTCAGTACCAACTTGAGGAGACATAGCTGAAGAGTCAGCAGCGGCTGTTTCATTTTGGATAGAGTTTTAAGAAGTAGAGGCAGACTGGGAGGGAGAGGCAGGCACAGTGTTAGGATTAATGCGGCTGAAAGAGGACTGTCTGCTAGAGATATATGAAGAACCAATGGAATTGTTACTATACTGAAAGTGTGAGTGAGGACCAACAGATGTAAGAGGAATAGGATGCCGAGAAAAGGGAGTAGTGAAGGATGTAGAAACTGATTTAAATGATGAGTCAGGGAATAGGGAGGTGTATGGGAACCTGTGCTCATTGAATATTACATCCTTAGATACAAAAATTCTACCAGTTGGATCAAGACACTTATAGCCTTTGTGGGATGGAGAATAACCTAAGAATAAGCATTCCTTGGAATGCATAGCTAGTTTATGAGAGTTATAGGGTCTGAGATGAGGAAAACAAGAGCAGCCAAAGGCCTTTAAGAACTTGTAGTCAGGAAATTGAAAATATAGTAGGAAAAAGGGTGATTTGTTATGCAAGGAAGGAGATGGGAGCCGGTTTATGAGGTAGGTAGCAATGAGAAAAGCATGGTCCCCGGAATTTTAATGGTAGGTTAGCTTGAGCAAGAAGGGTGAGACCCGTCTCCACAACATGTCTGTGCTTACGTTCCACAGACCCATTTTGATGTGAGTATATGGACATGTGACTCTGTGTGTTATGCCATGCATGGTTAGAAAATGTGTCAAAGGTTTGAATTCACCTCCACCATCTGTTTGCACAGACTTGATTTGAGATTGAGTTGTAGCTCAACAAGAGCTTTAAACTGAACAAATGTGGCGTGTGTCAGATTTTAATTTAAGAGGATAAATCCAGGTATAACGGCTATGAGCATCAACACGGGTGAGGAAATATGCATGGCCAGAGATGGAGGGCACTGGTGATGGCCCCCACAAGTCACAAAACACAAGTTCAAGGGGTTTGGAGTAAACAGTTTTAGATGAGGTAGATGGTAACCTATGTACCTTACCCATGCAGCAGGCATTACAGAAGTCAGAAAACTGTTCATTAAGAATTGAAATATTACAAAGTTTGAGAACTTGTTTTAGAATCTCATGATGAGGGTGACCTGACTTGTGGTGCCACAATTTATACAGGCTAGAAACAAAATCTAAGTTCCTATTATTACAATTGGAATTGAACACACAGCTAGATTCCAAAGAAGGAGGTTGAGAGCTAGATGACTTGCAGACAGCACTCCCAAGGGCATAAATTTAATTTCAAAGAAGAAGATATTCAATTTCAAAGAAGTGTTAGGGCATAAATTTGAAGGAAAAGTCATAGAACCAAGAGAGGTAATGGACAAACCTTGGTCATTGCCAATGTGAACCTGATCATTACCAGGCAGAGATATAGTATCAGTGAGATTTGTGGCATCTGGAGTCACATGATGTGAAGCTCCTGAGTCAGGATACCACGCCTGGTTGTAGAATGAAGAACAATCAGTGCCAACAATTAGTGCCTGAGGCCTGGCACCAAAGTAGTGAGATGCCATGATAGGAGCCATAGGTCTAGCTTGGTTCACATTTAAAGGACTTGGAGCCCTAAATTCAGGTTGAGTCCACACATTTGGTTGACCAAAGCCAAAATTTCCAAATGAGGCAGGAGCACCATAAGGGGGATAGACACCATAAGAGTCTTGAGAGTGTCTATAGTAGCAGTAGCTAGCATCATGACCAGTTTTGTAGCATATCTAACATTGCACAAGGTTCCTGTAGCCATTGCGGCCACCACGTCCTCTGAATCTTCCACCTCTATTGCTTCTGCCACGAGTGTAACTACACGACCATAGCTTTGGAAATTTCCACCACTGGAGTCAGTGATGTCAAGATTTTAAGGACTGAGATTGGAATTTTGCACATTACCTTGAGTAAGGTTCACAGAAACAATCTCAACAACTTCTTTCTTGGATTTATCCACTCTAGCTTTTTGAGTGAGGAGAAGCGATTCCAACTCATCAAGAGAGATGAACTCAGACTTAGAGTTAACAGCAGCAACAACATAATCAAATTCCAATGGTAACGCCTCAAGAGTCAATTCAATTTGGTCACGATGAAGGAGCGGATCACCAATTGACATTAACGTATCGACGATAGTGCGAACACGAGCAAGAAATTCAGAGATGGTTCTAGTACCTTTGTAGATGGAGCGAAGCTCCGATCTGAGTTGACGAGACCGAGTCTTCATTTGCGTATGACAAAACGCATGA